CATCTAGCAAATAAGCTTAAAAAGCAGCATGTATTTTACTCGAGGCAAAAAATGAAAGTAAAGCTAGCTACCCAACTTCTAAGTCGATCTGTATCTGAAGCTCTTACATTTTGTAGAGATAAATTAGAATTCAGAACTTCCTGCTTTTAAAGACAGCGGTCCTACTGTAAAATTTATTAAATATTTTAACGACGCATTTGACATCCTAAATTCTAGGTCCATAAATCAGTATGGGAAATCAAAAGCTGTATGTAAAAAAAACATTATAGAAATTAAGGAATTTTATGAAGAATTTTCTAATTATATTAAAAAATTAAAATTAGTAGAAAATAAAAATGGCCAAATAACTCATGTACTAATTTTAAAGTCTGCAAGGAAAACTGGTTTCTTAGGATTTCTTATTTGTTTTGAATCTCTAAATTCATTATACAATAATTATTTGATGCCCGATTTAATTGATTATATTTGCTTTTATAAACTTAGCCAGGATCATATTGAGCTTTTTTTTGGTACAATACGGTCTCATGGTGGCCACAATGATAATCCCACAGCTCGTCAATTTAGATCCGCTTATCGTAAACTATTAATAAATGCCAAGATCAAAGATGGATCTCTCGGAAATTGTATACCTTTAGATGAAATTGATATACTAAATTGCTCTAGTGCCACCAATACTATAAAAGATCCAGTAGACATAATTAATGAAAGTAATGCTATTTTGTATAAAGATATAATTTCACAGCCCCAAACTCATCATATTAAAGATCACGATTATATAATTGTATCTGATCAAAATATTACCATGAGTAACTATATAAAAGAAGTTGTGATTTATATCTCTGGTTTTATTTGCCATAGATTATCATCTAAAATTAAATGTGATATTTGTTGTAATGCTTTGTTTGGTGATAAAAAAGATTTTATGACTTCATTAATTAATGTTAGAGACAAAGGTGGATTGTCTTATCCAAGCGATGATGTCATTTTAATAGCCCTTCAAACTGAAAAATTTATGAAATCTTACAGTTCTGACACAAAACCATTAAACAAAATGTTAATTGTTACAAAAACATTAAGTTATTTTTGTAACAATCATGTATTTGATTCAATTTATAACCATAATTCTGACAATGGTCCATTTTCAAACCATATCATTTTACTTATGAAATCTATTATCAATTCATATTTTGATATTAAAACACACTATTCGTGTAGAAAACAAAATGAAACCGATTCAATGCGAACGTGGTACAATAAAATGACATTATTTAGAGGACAGTAAATTTTATTTTTAATTCTATACTTTTTTAAACACATCATTAATAAATTGTGTATAATATGTAAATATGTATAATAAATAATATGTACCTATTTTATCATAAAATTTGTTATTTTTTTTTTTTTTAATTAATTTTTTATTTGTAACATTTTGTATTAAAATTTAGGTTTACAGTTTGTTAAATTTATTTTTTATTTGGAATTAATGTTGTGTAATAAAAATGTAATTTACAGTTTGTTAATTTTCTTGTTTTTTACTTTAAACCCTGCACATAGTACGTCATAATGAAATTTTAATACGGTATTAATACAATGTAACATATATTTATTATGTGTATCACGTATTTTGAATATTATATTCATAATATATTTTACCAATGATCAAATTAATTAATAATTATTATTAATAATTATATTATAATAATATAATAATATTTTGGTACAATATTCCCATTGTACAATAATATGTTGAAAACGCATTCAATATACTTATGAATAAGATGGTACAATAGTACTTATTGTATGTTGTGGTAACACTGAAAGTACACCTACTCCGCTTCAATTCGCGTTCGTAAGGCCCTCTCTATATTACTCTATGCATAACCTACAATTTCAAAACACCGTGTTAGGTTAGGTAAGGCACGAGATGACGATAAGCGGTACTTACTGGAAGGCGACTCGCTGGAATGCTACATCGTCCCAATACGGGCCCAGTTTTGCCTTGACGGTTGACATCGGTATCAGGGACACCGACCGCCTCGACTCGCTGCCGAGGATTTTGCCGATAGCCTTTAAGCTAGCAGCGGCAGGTCGTCTTAGCAGGCCAAAGTGTTTAATACCGATTTGGCGGGTCAACTTATTATCATCTGTTTTGTAGGGGCAGATGGGACAGTATTTCGTCAACTGAAACACATACGAGANTTAAAATACTCATAACTCGCGTTAAAATTAAAATATAATAAAAAACCTATGAGGTTGACTAGATAATAATCTTACCTTTAGATTTTATAAGAGGTCAATACGCACTAATTTTTAAACTAACGGAGCTACACGTGTTCTGCTGAGCGTAAAATTTGCTATGTTACGCACTTGTAAGACAGAGACAACACATGCAGGTATCACGTCCTCTTAAAATTAAAATATAAATTGTTTAATGTTTAGACTCAATACCATTGTAACTGAAATGAGTATTATGGGCCCTATACACAGGTTTATACGAGTCGCAGGGTGTGCCCTGGCACACCAGGCACACCCTGTAGATTCGCCTATGACGAGATGGTGATGTCTGCGGTTACACTGGTGACACCGGGTCTTAGATTTACAATTATTTGCCCAATGACTGGCGCTAAAGCATATGAAACATAATTTATTTTCCCGTGTCCAACGGGCACGTTCCTCATCCGTCCAGGACTTAAAACGAGTACACGATTCTAATAAGTGGGACTCGGTGCAGCACGGACACGCTTTTCTCGGGGCGGCGGTGACTAACGACGCGGCATGAGAAGTCTGTTGCCTTTTATATCGATCTCCCCCCTTGCGCGATTGATCGCCGTGAGATGGTTTTAGCTCCGCGGAGCTACTATTAACTTTATGGGACGGATCGCCGACAAGTTCTAAGATAGCTACACGCGTTTCAACAAAAGTTAACAACTCACTCATTGACGGAAAATCAGATGTTACCTTCGACTCGAACAATTGACGGGTGGACATCGGTAAGCGACGGAAAGCTAACGCGAATAATAAAAATGATCCGAGGTCTGGAATTTCAAGTGCCTTTAATAATGATATTGACTCGCTTAATTCGCTGGTAAATTTTTTCAACTCCTGGAGTGACTCCTGAGTAGACGACGGAACGTTCAACAATTTGTCTATTAAAGACGTGGCCACCATTCGTGGACGATTAAATCTGCCTGTTAATGTCGACCAAGCTAACTCGTAACTGTCGGACGCGACCGGTATACTACGCACCGCGTCGGCGGCCGTACCGCGTAGACATCCTATTAAATAGTACATTTTGTCTATCGGGGTCAAATTGGACCTACTGTCTACCAGCGCTTTAAATCTGTCACGGAAGGTGGTCCAGTACTTGAAATCGCCATCAAACTTTGGCAATGGTATCTCCGGAAGACGTGATGTTGAATTATTAGAGATAGTAGACGGAGCTAGTGGTGTCGGATTATTTCTAGCAGCAAAATTAGAATTTATGTACGACATGTCCAGTGCTTCCGCACCTTTCGGGATAAGACCGTCCGCTATAGCTTTCGACTCCGAAATAAGCGCACGGACTTCGGCCGGCATACTTGACGAGTAGGTACTCGCTCGTCTTGTCGAGTTTTATTAAAAAATCTAAAACCGACTCGTCCTCTAACTTAAACTGGGACCATAACATATCTAGATCAGTCACGGCAACTAAAAATTGAGGAACCACGTTAGGTTCACTCGAAACGCGCGATGCCAACTCGTGAACCGATCTAATACTAGCTACCGCAGTTGTCCGTAATATTTCCGCGCGCGCCCTACCACGTGTTAAACGCTCAATGTCTTTGGCGTCAGACATGACAGCGGTTGATATATAATTTTTTTTTTAAATAGTAATTAAGCAAAACCCGAGTAACTACTGCCGGGATTAATAAAACAATAAGCGCCGAAAATCAAACGCACGCACCACACAAAAACCACCAAAATAATAATAATTTAAATTAATTTGAGGTACTATCAAATATCCTGTAATACAAAAAATTAATTAAATGGCACCAATAAAACCAATCATAAACGCCTAAAAACCCACGCTCACTGAACCTCCCGGGTCCAAAACCACGCTCTGCTACCAAATGTTGTCGCTACGACAGAACTTACGAACATGCAGTTTTCTGCCGCAACTTGCGCAGATGATAGGCGAAAGGATCGGGTGACCAACTTATAAATGTACAGAATATTTATGTTCGAGTATAATAATTTTGCTGCGACGCCTAGCGTACAGTAGTTATATATATTACAATTATAATATAGTAGGTACAAAAAGTTAATTTGATTGATAATATGCGGGCGCCCTAAACATGAAGGTATAAAATATAATATAATAAATAGCACGAAAAACAATACGTGTGCTTATAATATAAATATGACATTGAGTACAACGACCTCAAGTGTCGCCGAATATAATATGTAAAATAATAATAATGGAAACAATGTATTCATATACTTATGTTCCGTTACAATAATAATTAATTGGCCACTAAACACGAGTGGACCCGATACAATAAGATGGCAATCTGACCTGACAGCAACAGGCGAGCTGATCCCTCAATTTGTGGCGATGACCGCGAATGCTGGCGAATCTTTACGTTAACTTGAGGTTGGATTATTTACGTGAATCAATCGTGAGGTTCACTTGAGAAACAAAAATCATTCACACCTCGTGATCACACGAGGTTTGGCTGCGACACGAACAGAACGGTGAACGACACGACGTTGTGTTTAGTTCAACCGTTGGGAAAAAACGAACTCAAAAATGTCGTCGACGCCGGGCTGGCTAGCGGCTCGGCCATCGGCTAACGAGTTTTCAGCGGACAGCGGAGGTGGAGCTTGTCGGACACCTTATCTTTTTTCCACACCTGGGGTGTTCCGAGGAGATTATATATATTATATCGTTCCGCGATCGAACACAACATATCAATCGTTTCATTTAGAATCATAAATATATTTAAATATTTATTCAGCTAAATAAAGCTTAAAATAAATTATAAAACATTGCGTTATGTGGGTGCTTTGATTTCTATCTAATTGTTAAATTTAGAAAATAAGGGAAGATGTTGGGGGCCTTGATATATGATATTATAGTATATTTTAAACACTTCAGCACAACTGCATACAATATGTATAAGGTATAGGTAAATAAAAGCTCTAACAACCTACTGGCTCAAGTAAGAAAGTAAATATATTTATACTTTTGTTATAAATAAAAACAATGGTTATTGTAAAAGAAAAGTAATGATGAACAATTTTATGATAACAAAAATTATTTAAGTAGTGCACCAAAGATAGTAAAGTAATTTTATTTAAATACCTACTGCAGAATTATATTTGAGGGAAAAATTTATATAATTTTCTTTTCCACCTAAGTGAGATTTACTGATACATATTTATATATTGTGTTCAATTAAGTAAAGAATTTTTATACATTTTTTTATTTACCACATAATATATTAAACTTTTTTAAATACTCTTTAATACTTATTAATATTATTATAAATTTATTTTAATCCAGAAAGTAAAATTTGTCAAAAAATAATGTTTGATTGTTAGGAGTAATATCTTTTTTACTATTTAGTATTTACTCAGTAATTTATAATACTTAGATTTTACTCAATAACTGTACTGTGCAGGTGTACACTAGTATTTTTTTTATTATATACTAACTACTTAATACAATATGAAGTAGTTAGTATTAAATAATACTTGTATTATGCATTTTTATAACATTATGTAATAGACAAAATTAAATTATTTAAAATCATTATATATCCTTTTTAAACTCAAAATCCTTATTAACAAAATGTTGATCTTTCCTCTATGGTATTATGATATTCAAATTTGGGGTAATGTCGCCCCAAGTAACATACAAAAAATACAATCATTCCAATCCATCTGCCTTCGCACTATTTCAAAATCCCCCTGGTATGTAAGTAACAAAACCCTACACTCAGACCTGAGAATAAATTAGTAAACCAAGTCACTAAAACTGCTTACCAAAAACTCCACAAAAAATTTAGCTCCCATAGTAACCCTAACATTAGTTATCTTGCTTCTCAATACATCCCTGATAACCCCCACGAAGACTCAAATGAAAATGGGTTAGAGACCTCCTCCGCTAATAAATATTAAATACCCAAGTAGGTAGCTCCATTGGGAGCCCTCTTACATTGTGCCATTTTCATGTTATGTAATCCTCTTCATCATTATTACTTGTTGTGCTTAATTGTATACCTAGTTGTATATTTTCTTATTGAATAAAAAAAAAAAAATATATCCTTTATATTTGAAAACATTGAGTATAAAATTTAAATTTAAATTTTTCATTATCTTATTTTGTATATCAACAATAAGCAACATAAGTAATAACTCTGTAATTACTTTCCGTGTAAATAAATAGTGATTTTAGACTCAGAGTGGAGCGATGATGTATTGATTTTACAATGATGTGTGTTGTATTTTTTATTTGTGTGTCTATCATCTTGGTTTGGGGAAGTAAAGGTGCTTCAATTTTCTTCAACAGCATCACTGGTAATTTAAGAATAATATTAATTCAACTTACCGGCTACCATATTAATAATAACTTATTATTAATAAGTAATAACAATATGAAATATCCTAGTCTGATATACCATCTCTGATCAGAATCGTTTTTCGTATACAATGATATTATATCATTGAATTCAAAATTAATACCATCCATTACAGCGACCTCTTGGACACCTAATGTATAGCAGAGCGCAAGGCCGTACCTGGGGGGGGTGGGGGGGTCAAACCCCCCGAATTTTTTATACTATATTAAATAACCTATAAAATAATATAATAAAATTAGAACACATTTTTTTTGCTTACCCCCCCCCCCCCAAAAAAAAAATTAATTTCCAGTACGGCCTTGGCAGAGCGACATCCACTTACCCACTTTTTAATAAATCATTTCAATTGATTAATAGTACACACACTATACAATTATAAAATATATTAGATAAGGTGAGGGAGTAAATGTAAAAATAATTCAACAAATTTTATTGTAAATACATAAAATGTTTACATACATAATAATGAGACTGTGTTAAACATTATGATAACAATAAAATATGAATTAAGTATTAAAACAACTTAAATAAATGTATGTTATAAAAAACATATACAAATAATACAATGTTTGGTTAAAAAAAATTGAATTGTCATACATAATTAATAGATTTGGATATTAACAAAATAAACATAAATTAAATTTGATAAAATAAGGAATTTATATCAACAAACACAAACTTAAGAAGAACATTAAGTAATATAAAATAAAGTATCACCTGTTTTGATTTTTTCAGATAGTTAGATTCGGTATTTGTACAATTTATTATATCTGAAACATTAGAAGGTACTACATTATAGGTATAGTATAGGTTTTCCTAAATATTTGTATTATCTTTATCAAAATACACAATTTTTTATAACTTAAAATGTTAATTTAAAAAAATTACTTTACTTATTCTTTATAGCAAACTTACAAATATATATGTATAATCATATAAATAACCTGAAAAAAAAAATGAAGCCAATATGGGCAATCATAAGCGGCAAATAGTAATAGGCTCAGAAGTTATATGAGGATTTAATAAATATTCATAAACATTCAAAATGATTAAACCATTTAATGTTTGTTATCAATTTGCACTAAATGAAATGTAAAATGTGGAAAAATAAATTTATAATACTTCAAATATGGCAGAAAACTGTATGCATTCTGACATTTTAATGAGCTGAAAAAATAGTTTAAAAGATGAATATGAAAAGATTGTACATCAAAATATTAGTGCAATATAGAGATTAAATGTATATCATACTGTTGTCGTTTAAGTCATAGTCGACAGCGACGATAACAATAAATAACCTATATTAAATAATATTGCGTTTCATATTTTATATTATTATTAAGTTACACAGTTTAAAAAAAAAGGTCGATTTGTCAATTTATTGGGGAAATATTAAATATGCGTACAAAAATCAAAAAATATGAATTTTTCTTATAAATTTGACAAAATATACGAAATAAAAATTTTTTATTTTAGATTTTTTATTCACCATTATACAGCTCAGATTTCGAGCTTGGTCTATTATAAATCGAGAGCATACAGATTAATATGCAACTCTTACAACTTCCGAGCCCTAGTAATATGTAACTATTTTTTCCTATCTGAACCAAATTGCAAGTAGAAATAAACAAATATGTGTTAAGATTTTAATATTATTATTAGAGTAAATTTGTTGCAATCTAATAATTATCTATTACATTATGCGTTGTTAGATACTTCCCCTGCCAAATCAACGCACAAGACCAGTGCGTTGGAACAAATCCACGCCCATGCGCACAACTTGGCCACCTGGTCATGATCTTAATTTGAACAGATTATAGTCTATCAATGACATTATACACAAATAAAAAAATATTTGATTTTCACTTGAGCCCAAACAAAATGCATGTGTAAGTAAATAGTAAGTATATAATGATTAAATATTAATATTTTTTAACCTAACCTATATGGGTTGAAATCAAAACTACTAGTACTCATCTCAGAATCTTAAGTAATTTATTTATATAATTTCTAACGAAAACAGTTCAGTAGTTTTTGACATCACAGAGAACAAACAAACAAACATTCATTTTTAGATTCTGAGTGGAACAAAAGAAGAATTCATTAATTTTACAATGTGTTTTTTTTCTGATATCAACTTTTAGGACTATAAAAATACTTCAATTTTCTACTTCAGCATTTTTTTAGTTAAAAAGTTGACAAAATTTATGAAATTTTTTTAAACTTTTAAATGTAATGTTTTCTAAAAAAAATATTTAAAATACCTATTGTATTACTAATAGCAAAAAAAAAAAAATACTTATAACAATGTCATGTCAATAATGCATTTAGTAGTAAGGTCTGTCAGACCATCTTTGCTCAGAATCATTTTTCATATATTATGATGCTACATTAATGAATTTAAATTTAACACATCCATAACAGCAGGAGCTGCCAACTTTTTACCACTAGTGAGTCACATTAAAAGTGTTAAGTATCTGGTGCTCTACCACTACTTGTTTAGGTAGGAATACTATTTATATTATTGCATGCAGCATAATAATTGATAGTATAGTAATATTCTTAGTTCATTATTTCTCCATCTGAAAATTGTGTTTTTCTTCGCTAATAAACACTTTACTTTGTACACAAAGTCTTTTACTTACAAAGGTCTTCAACTTGAAGATTAAACACATAATCAACAGATATTAGTATAATTAATTTAAAATAAGATCGACCAATATTCATATAAAGATTGACCAGTTGATCAGGTTGGTGATCCCTGCATCACAGTGACTACTATACAGCAAGGCGAAATCCACTTACCTACCTAACCTAACCTTTTATTTTACATATTAGATTGTCTGATAAAATGTATAAAAATCATTCTAGTTAATTATTAAGCCAACTTCATTTTAAATATTGTTTTTATCTTATTAAATGTACCTACTTTAAAAACTATTTAGTATTATAAAATAATTTCTTACTTGATAAAAGATTTGAACTGTAATTAACTGAAATAATTTTTGTTTGTTGTTGGTATTTGTCTGAAAAAAACAGTTTTTAATTAGTTAGTTCTTCTACGCAGTTCCTAAAAGTAAAAATGTATACTATAATTTTGATACTTAAATTAATACCACAACAAATAGTGTATAGGTTAAAATATTTAAAATTCAATGTTTAAATTTAAAAAAGAAATAAATAACAAAATGCTTATCAAGGACATAATAATAATGTTAATAGAAGTTTGAAAATAGTATTGCTAAAATCAATATAAGGACCACCCAAACTGAAAATAGACCCTTGATTTTAATAAACCAATTCTCATGTTTTTGATTCAATGAATTACCTTTCCCTTTAACAATTCCTAAATATGCACCTGGTTAAATTCTTTTGATAAAATATAATTAATATTGTACACATGTATAAGTAATTAACACTCACTTTAAAATACATTAGGTGGTGGTATATCTTCTAACAAAATGTCTCATCCTATCACATTGGAATGGAAAGCAACATCCATCGATTCACTGGTGCAACAAGAACATGTATGTTTTTTTAAAACTCTCCTGGTGGACATACGACGACCTTGCTGATTTAATTTCAGTATTTTTGTTTCGCTAGATTTTTTTATAAGACCCAGTTCTCGTTCCTCAACGATTTTTGTACCTTGCTTCATAGATTTCAAGTCTAACAGAGAGTCAACACATTTGGTATTTAATTCACTTTTATTTCGCCCGATTCGAATTTTAGGTATAGCATCTGTATTTGTTTTGACTTCGTGAGATATTATCCTCCAATCTAATTTTTCTTTACTTGATTTTGTTTGGGCCATTTCTTCTTGATCTTCATCAGACACAGATTCACCATCGGAAGTTAAATCAATGGTTTCATTAATTAAACTGTTGTGTATTTTATTTACACAGTTAATGGGATCAGACTTTGATGAAGTTAGAACAAGTTTATTTGAACTAGACGTTAAATTATTGTCAAGTTCTACTTTTTTTTCTCTGTACGAGGAATTTAATTTTGATTTTCTTGTTACAGTTTTTTTTTTATCATTATTGATAGAATCTTTTTTAAGCTCTTTATCTGAGTCAATTATTGTATTAATAACTGTTGGTTCTTTTATGGATTTTAAACATCCATTTCTAAGTCTTTTCAATGCAACAGGCTTCTGACTATTTGTTTTGTTAGTTGATAATGTAACCTGGCTACTATCGTTGGGCACTGCGAGTTGTTTAAAACAGTTTTTGAATGAACTGATATCAAGCCGCTCAAGCACTATTTTAGGTTCCAGTAAAAATAAATGTTTGCAAGTTTTTGTACTAGAGACGGTATTTTGATCTAATATTTTGTTGTTGTTTTCAGAATCTAGTTTAATTTTAGTAGGCATGGCTAATTTTTTCAGTTCTTTTTGAGATGCTGTAACTTTATTTTTATTTGGAAGCAATTCTTTAATTTTTTTAACTTTTTTCTGTTGATTTGCAGTCATTTCTTCAGACTGCTCTAAGTCAATTTCGCTATTAGAAGCTCCATCAACAGAAGCCACATACTTTGGACATACCCTTCTACGTTTTACCAAGGGAATTTTTTTCTGACATTTTAATCTCTTTTTTGACACATTATTTAGAGAATCTTCAACAATGTCAGAAGCAGGGGAGGAAATAATTTCTAATTCAACTTGTTTAGTTTTACATTCGGATTTCGATTTTGTTGTTAATTTGGTGTCAGTCAATGGAATGCATTTGGCCCTGCTCCTTCTTTTTCGCAGATTAGGAATATTTTTCTCCACTTGTTCAATAAGTGGTTGTTTATTTTTTTTAACTTTTCTTAAATTATATACATTTTCTGACAAATTGTTGTCAATTTCAGTATCTGAACTACTTTTGACTAAATTCACCAATTTAGATGTTTCTCCTTGAACTATAATGTCTTTATAGAACATACTATTTGGTGGAAATTCTTCAATAATAAGCGTTTTGCTAGGTTCTGATGATATTACAGGGCAGCTATTTTGTATTTCAACTGCATATTCTTTTGTTTCAGAATCCAAAATATTAATATCAACTTGTTGAGGAGTAATATCATTAGAGTCAACTAGTTGAAAGGATTTAATTTCTTCATTATATAAATTAGTATTGGAAGATGGTTCCAAATCTACTGATATCTTGTCCGTAACTATTTCTACGTTGTTTTCAATTAAATCACTGGGTTCATTAACTTCAGCTGTTGTACCTAAGCTTATATTGTTCAAAAATGATTCATTTAACAAAACTGATGTTTGCTGATTCAGAGTGTCGTACACTTCTAGTTGATTTGATTCATTCTCGGTCATAGTAAGATGATTAAAACCATATTCCGGTATAGGATTTTCAATAGTTGACACTTCAGAAAAAATATCATTGTTGGAATATTGATACTCATCATAAAGATAATCTTCGTTCTGATCACCACACACATTTTTAGGATTTTCAAAAATTTGAAAATGAATAGGCTCACTTGACTTATTTTCTCCATTAGTATTTTCAACTATTTCAGCAATATCATCTTTTTTAATTACAAATAAATTCTTGTTACCATCAACTATATTATGTATGTAACTTTTATTTTCTTCTTCAATTATCTTATTGTCACAATTTAAACGATTCTCTTCAGTGAGATGATGATTACAAGGAGTAAGATTTTTCAACTTGTTAGATTGTGAATCTGTTGAATATATTACATTACCACGGTCTATCATTCCATTATTTTTAGGCGTTATCTCATTTTTAAATGTTTCAAAATATGTTGTTAAATTTTGTTCACTTGCATAAGCTTCTTCGGAATTTTCTTTATATTCACTTTCGAATATAACATCTGGTTCTTCTAAACTGTCCTTATTTTCACCATCAGGTTTAACACTTAATTGATCTGAATCGTTTTGAACATTTGAGTTATTATTAAGTATGACACCCTGTTCTTCTAAATTATTAGTATTATTTGAATCAAGAATGAAATCTGGTTCTTCTTTACTGTCTTCATTCTCACCATCAAGTAAGTCTTCTGATTCTTCAAAACATCCATCTATTTCATCTTCAAGTATAATATCAGGTTGTTCTAAATTATGAGTATCATTTATATCAACAAGTATCATCTCTGGTATTTCTACATTATCTTCATTTTCGTCATAAGGTATGTCATATGGTTTTTTAAAATTGCTTTCATCGTTACCATCAGCTAAGACACATGGTTGATCAGGTCGATTTCCTACACTTTGGACATCATCAAGGAAATTATCCGACTCTACAAAATTTTCATAAATGTCATTTTCTAGTATGACATCAGGTTGTTCTGAGTTATTAGTATCATTTGCATCATCAAGTGTCATCTCTAGTACTTCTATATTGTCTTCAATGTCATCATCAAGTAAGACAATAGGTTGATCAGAATCGTGTTCTACACTTACAGTATCAAGGAAGTCATTTGATTCACCTAGATTGTCTTTATTTTTGCCTTTGGGTGTGAAGTAAGGTTCTACTAAATTGTCTTTATCTTCACAATCAGGTAAGATACTTACCGATGGTTGATCCGATTGATTTTCTACATTAACGTCATCATCAAGTATGAAACCTGTTTTGTTTGTCTTTTCATAATTTTCACCTTCAAGTAAGTCTTCTGATTCTTCAAAGCGTCCATCTATTTCACCTTCAAGCATGATACCTGGTGATTCTAAATTATTAGTATCATTTGCCTCATCAAGTATCATCTTTGGAACTTCTACATTATCTTCATTTTCGTCTCTAGGTATGACACATGGTTTTTTAAAGTTTTCTTCATTTTCACCATCATTTAAGACATTTGGTTGATCCGATCGATTTTCTACATCATCATCATCATCATCGAGTATGAAATCGGTTTTGTTTGTATTTTCATTATTTTCACCTTCAAGTATGAAATCTGATTCTTCCAAATGTTCTTTATTCTCACCATCAAGTAAGACTACCGAGTCTTCAAAATTACCATCAATTTCGCCTTCAAGTATGATATCTGGTTCTTCTAAATTATCCTCATTTTCATCACTAGGTAAAACGTTTAGTTGATATGAATTGTTTTCTACATTTACGTCATCATCAGGCAAGTCATCCAATGAGCCTGAATTGTTAGTATCATTTGCATCATCAAGTATGATATATGGTTCTTCTACATGTTCAAATTGTTCACCTTGAAAGATGACATATAGTTCATCTAAATTATTTTCATCTTCACTTTCAGGTATGACAATTGGTTGATCTGAATGATTTTCTAAACTTGTGCTACGATGAAGTAAGTCTACCGATTCTTCTAAATTTTCGTCAATGACACCTATAAGTTTGATATCAGGTTGTTGAGGATTATTATCATCATTTAAATCTTCTAGTTCTTTTAAATTGTCCTCATTTTCATCACAAGGCATGATACTTGTTTCATTTGAATGGGTTTCTGCATTTAAGTTACCATCTAATAAGTCATTTGGTTGTTCTGAACTGTTAGTTTCATTTAAATCACCGAGAATGATATCTGGTTCTTCTGCATATAGAAAATGTTCAATTTCAAGGATGACATCTGCTTCCTCAAAATTGTTTTCATTTTCACCATTAGGTATGCTATTTTGGTCACTGTCAGAAATATCCATTTTTTCACACTCTCCTCCGTCGATAGTATAGGATATAGGGAGAGTTTCTAATACTTCAATTTCAGAATTATCTTTAAGAAACTTGTGGGAAGTCATCAGTGTTTGTTCGGTGATCATATTAATTGGTAAATTATTGGTATCACTATTTTCAACAACTTTATTTTCAGAATCAACAATTTTCATACTCATGCTTTTGTTGAGACTGCATCTACCAAAATAATATGAATGTTAATTAAAATTGTTATAATTGATTTTTCAATTTATGACTAGGATATAAAGAAATTAAAGTAACTTAGAATGAAATGATTCAAACATCAAACAAAAAAAAACTCACTTTTCAACTTTAGAGTCATTATTATCTGGCAGACCAGGAGTTAAAGTTTGGCGCATCTTATCTAATTTTATCATTGATAATTGCTTATTGTCTATTGCAGATTTTTTCTGAAAAAATAATTGATAACATTAAAATGCAATAACAACTATAGGACTTATAACAAAACCAAAAATTGTATATTATTAGGTCATATTAAATAGTTACAGAATAATAAACTATAACTTTTTTTAAGATTTTTATATATCGCTGCACTAATTTTTTTTTAAATAAAATTTAATTTGTCAATTATAAATTATAAAACAGTAATAATAAATTTACCTTCGGCACTACTAAACAATTTGTAACAGAAGGTCTATAACTGGCGCTTTGAATTAATGGAGTGTCGAGGAGTTTTAAGAGTTCCTTTTTCATTTTTTTTGCAGTTTCAATTTTTAAGGGACTCAATACTCCATTTATAGCTGAAACTTTTTCATAAGGACCTTGTGTTGTACCAACTATGTCATCATCTGGTACAATAAGATTACTAAAATTATAAATAATGTATTAGTTCCATAATAATACAACACAAACAATATATAGTTAAGATCTGTTGGCTCAATGTTAATAGTGATTTTTATTTCTTAAAGAGATAGTTAATATTAGAAAAGTAAATAATAGGTGGAGCATTGTAACCAGAAGAATTTCATGTGTAGATATGAACTCGGCCCCATATCCAGAAATACTTTTTTTATATAAAGTGGTCTTTAACATTTTTATCATCTCCAGTTTTCCCTCAAATGTAGTATAATATTTTCACAATTTCGGATTTTTGTTTTTTTATAATGGTGATGAGTATGAAACATTAGGAAGAAGGTCTAGATTCACTTTGGAATTGATGCCTTGGTAGCATTTCTCAACTCATTTGTTGTTAAGATAGGTATTAAATTAACAAAACGAGCAACTTGAATTAACAAATAATTGTGTAACTATTGTAAGACTTCAAATGTGTCTTAAAAAAATGCATTCTTAAGTCCCAAAACTTAAAATATAATATATAAGATGGTAATATTTTAATAATATTAACAAATTTCAACTAATTTGAGATGTTAAGTAATAAAAATCATTTCATACCTATGACAAAATTTCCCATAACTTCTACAAATATTTGATTTTTTCATATTAATATGATTATCCATAAAACAATTTGCAAAAGTCATCTTAATTTCTGTAATAATAAAAACAATTATGAATTAGTATTATAATAACACATTTATTAATTATAATAAGGTAACATAAATAAATAATTTTTAAAAATCTTTTTAAAAAATAAAACACCATTTACCTTCATTAGAAAATAATCTTTTGTTAACATCACTTTTGTTATTTGGAGATATGTTATCTTTAATTTTATTAACTAAAACACTAGCAATTGTAAGAATATAATCATGTTTTGAAGTAGTTTTGATTTTCAATAATTTATATACTTCCAAAGCTTCAGAGTACCTAAATTTATTAATATTAAATTAAATTAGGTTAACATTTATAATTTATAAAAAAAATTATGAAAACAAATATAAACAGTATCACACAACATTCTTCATTTTTAAATTAGTAAATTTATTTTATCTACCTTAGTATCCACATTTTAGAAGCTATAGCAGTGGTTTCCAAACTTATTTTACTCCAAGCACATCATTAATAATTATTAATAGATTGTACTTTTAGCAAAGGGAAAAATAAACATAAGACTTAATCATAATAAGTAATAATACAAATAAACATAATACTTTTCGGTATTCTCTACTATGGAGGATATGGCACAATGAAGAACTTGTTTTAAAAACCAGATATCAATGCATAAATGACGAGAAAAAGATTAACAGGCTCAGTGAAAAATATGACATTACTTTGGTGAGGTTAGAATCGAAAAGAAGTATAGGCTACATTCCAGTAGATATGCTTATTGTTTATATTTCAATATTTAATTTACCTTTTTTCTTGTACTAAAAACATAAATTGTATTAAATAGGTGTCTTCAAATTTTTTTAAACAAGAAAAAAATAATTGTTTTTCATCTGCATCCATAGGATAACTTAAGAATGCCTTTAATTGATTGGTATGCCTGCATCCTAAAATTAAAAAAATTTAAACGAAGTTAATTTTAATTATTTACAAGTCAATCAAGAAATTACATGTAACTTACGATCAAAGATGTATTCAAACAATATCTTTTTATCTTCAATCTTTCTTAAATGCAAATGACATAAAGCATCAAAACAGTGGTTGTTCATTATTTGTAAGTTAATATAAAATCTGAAATCATAATCACTAAATTATATATCTATTTATTTATATTCTCGCATAGGCACATCAAAAAATTAATGAACTAAATAATCCTGATGCAGAATTTGAATTTAATTGATTGCTTTTAAAAACAAAATTTTTCATTATTAAAGTATAAAGAAACAAGGGTTAAATAAATTAAGAAACGTAATGTTTACTGTAACAACTAAATAAGGTAAGGTATCAATAATTTAGTTGAATAGAATTAAATATTATGAAAAATTAAAGGGTTGTATAATTTTAGATTCTGAGCGGAGCAATGTATATATTGATTTTACTATGACGTTTTTTCTTTTTATTATTTGCCTGTCATCACATTTTAGGGCAATAAAAATGATTTGATTTTCTACTTTGTTTTTTTCTTCTGGTAGGAAAGTGAATATATAGTTGGTACTTTGGAAGTCTAAAATTGACAGAAAATTCCGAAATGTGTAAATTACAAATGTAGATGAAAATTGTAAATGCATGAAAATTTCAGTCTTTATATTAGTATTATGGATGTACCATAACATTTTAAAACTATTTTTACTGTTTTGAGCTATTTTTGGGCATAAGAAAATTTTGATTTATATCAGTTCTTTTTATTAACTATGCCGACTATGGCAATAAACAATTTTAATATTTTAAATTAAAAATTTTTTTTGTTTGGTCAATAAGATTGAAAAATGAATACAAGGCATTTCAGTCAAAAATTATTTATTTAACTGTGTAATTGAGAAATAAAATACAAATTTTTACTCAGTACCCCACACACGTTTATATATTGATTAATTTTAATTAATCAATAATTATCTTTCAATTAATTATAATTACATTTTTATCAATTCAATATTCATAGAACTAAAAGTGAACCGAATTATATTAATTGATATTGTAAGTTATTAATTATATTCAAATAATTAATTTGGTAACTATAATTCAGTTATAGTTATAGTATATAGTCATAGTTGTGAACACCATCAGGTAAATTTATTTAATTAAAATAATTATTTTGTAGGATATCATCATCAATTTAAGTATTAAAGTACATTAGAACTTACAGCAATAAAAATTTTAATATATACATTGTATAAGATCTCTAGAAAATTACCATATTCTTATATTCTTTAATTCTTCATATAACTTTAAAAATTTTAATAGTTTTTAATCTTATATGAAAAATGTAACTGATTTTTAACTAAGTTTAATTACTTTTATTTTAGTAACTTGTAATTTTTACTAGTTAAAAAACAGTTAACTCGCTCAGCATTGCCAATATATACTTTTGAAATATTAACAAGTCGTAAAAATATTTTTACTTATCAAATAAACACGATGATAATTTAACATGTAACATATAAAAAATAATTAAATAAAACATTCTTATATGAAAAAAAAATAGTCTTACTTATGATCATCAAGGTTCATTAATTTGATATTAAAGAGTTCAAAGTAAATTTGTGCCCAATAATATTGTTCTTTAAAAACAAACAATCTTAAAACAGTCCAGTGATACCAATTCCAAGATTTATCATTAACCATCCACTCATTACTACTGGCAAGGATAAGCATACCATCCTATAATAAACATATTATATATATAAAAAACCATTATTTATATTAAATGAATAATAAAAATAATATTTACTTCAAACATGTCATGATCGAAAAGCCAGCTAGCACAACAAAGTTTATATAACTCTTCATTTTTAACAAAAGTATTATTAAAAATATTGGCAGTTATTTCATCCATCCTAAAATAGGTCACATTATATTATACTATATAATATAAAATTAAAATATGAAAACTAACTTTTGGACGGAACAGACATCAATCAAAAAATAAATAGTAATGAAATCTTGCATTTGGTTAGAGAGTTCAGCATTCAAGTAAATCCTTAAAAGACATTGGATATTGGAAGGCGGATACAAGCCTTTATTTTCTTCAATACATTCAAGTTTCCATTGTTCAATTAATTTATTTCCATTAGGTTCATTAGTCACAATAGCGTCAATGAGATACAATGGTAAATTTCCAAATTCCATCCGACTAAATATTTAAAATTATTATACATTGTTTTTTTTTTTTTAAATATTTTATCACTAACCGTTTACAAGCATACTGCACGAGGGAAGTAAAATCACATTGTATAATTTGATGAGTACCGTTTTCTTCAATTTGTTTTGGTAACAGTTGAAAGTTGACAAAATATATAATTGCATTAAAATATTGAGTGACTAAATTTATAATTTTCACTCTATCAACCAAATCAACTGAAATAATAAAGTTATTTAATTTTCCAACACAATATTAAATATATAAGTTTATGTCAATTTTTGATTTGGACAGTTTGCCAAGGCCAAAAATTGGTGCAAAGTGCAAACCCAGTCTGATTGTTAGAATAATGAAGTGACTCAGAAAAAAATGCAGTACTATATGTGCGAAAACCACACCAATGTTGCCTCCAAAAAAAGGCACACAGCCTGAGGTAACTCTTATAACAGACATATTATACTATATTATAATTATATGAGTAGATATGTCGTAAAATGCAAGCATTTACACAAATTTAACATTTTGCAATTCTTTAATTATAAATTAGTCATAATTTCTACAGTATAAGATCTAAATTTAAAACTTAGCATATCCAATTTCTGAAGACGTAGGTTAGGTGGCACTGGCATTTGCTGTACCCCTCTTTCAAATGCTTAACACAGAAAATTTATGCTCAGCAGGTCAAGTATACCTATGTTAGTTTAAAAATTAGAGTGAATCGACCTACTGGTAAGAACATTTTCTGTGTTTGTAGGTTTGTTTTTTTAGTGGTTTAATTTGTAAGTGAGTAATGAACATTTTCAATTCCCACTATATTATAAACGCATAACTTGGTTAAAAATTGAACTATCATAAAAATTAAATATACAAATATAAGGTTATGTTCTTACTATCAAGTTTCATAATAGGTCAATTCACTCTAATTTTTTAACTAATGAAAAGCTATGTGTGACCCGCTAAGCTTAAATGTTAAACACTTGTTAGATTGATACAACAAATTCCGATCCTCTAAATGGGTAATAAAAGATGAGCTAAACTTTCGTAACAGCTTCTGTCAAACATTATTTAACTAGTCAACTCAAATAATCTATAAGTATTTATAAATCAACAATAGAATATAATTCACAAATAATCTCAATAATAATTTATTATTGTACAACTGATGTGTTAATATTTTCACTAATATTTACCATTTGTTATTTGAACACAGTCTGTAAGCTGCATGCGTTTGAAGAAATTTTCAACACGCAGCATTTGAGACAAACAATCATTCAACATGCTTACATTTTTTTTACCATCCAGCATACCAGAACATTCAAATAAAGGAACACCTAAACAGGATATGAATTAAAAGTGATAAAGACAATCATATTGAAAACAATTTATAATTACATAGTCGATCAGCATATTGTTTAACAAGCATGACATGGTTCCAAAGACATTGCACTAAATGTAGAATTATAACTTCACTATGAGTTCCATTTTTCCATTTTTCAGCTAACTCATCAATAACTGACATCATGTTGTTTTCTACTATTATAGATATTACAAAATGTAATTTATCAAGCTGAAAAAATCAATTATTCGTCAATTAATAATGATATTATATTAGATTATAAATATAAATTAAAATACTCAAATCTGTCGAAACCAAAGTAATACAATATTTAAATTCTTACCAAAGAGTAATTTTCGTAATCATATGTCTTATCCCAAAAAAAAGGTTTTAAATTTTTTTGTAAACATTGATGGAATATCAAACTCGGGTTGAAAAATGAACACCAATTTTTTAAAATTAATTTATCTAAAACTTCTTGTTGAACACCATCATGTTTAAATCTAATAATTTTGGTGTCTGATAAGCAATCACATTCTAGAAAAAAAAAATATTAGAAAGTATATAAATATACTTACAACAAGTAGCAATCATGAAATACAAGTTTTGTTAGTTACCAAAATAAATTGAAGATGAACAATAGAGATTTTTTACATTATTTCTAAAATTGGAACCAAATGAGCCCAATGTTTTGTTAGAAATACTGAAATCTAAATAACTAGCATAATCAGGCAACTTCACAAAACTAGCATAAGGCTTTGATACTTTAAGATGATTGATAACTGATGGCATTTTGGCTTTATACCACTGGTTAATATCAAACAAAAAAACGTAAGATTTAGGACTGGCATCAACATTTTGACGAATTTCTATTAACATTGTAAATAATGTTATTCCAAAATTTTCAGACATATCTAAAAAATATCAAAAACAAACACCAAATATGATGGTTATAAAGTAACTAATTCAATTATTTTCTACTATAGAAAGTTCAGTTACCAGTGCTTTTTCTGACCAAGGTGTCATTACATAAAGTTAACGCAGATATACATCGACCAATTCCACTATCTTTTTGTAATGACATTTTAAATTTGATGTTGTATTCTTTATACGCCTTCATACATGCAAACACAATATTTTATAACAAAATAATTTAATTTCATAGTTTGTAAAATTTAGCTCACTCTATATGAAAAACGGCCATTTGACATCAAAGTTCTATGTTCATAGGATAAAGCTATCATCATTGCATTTGGAAGTCTAGAATTATCTGACTGAATAATCCAAAGATAACATAGTTTGTGTGGATCATCAGCTTCTTCGAGAAAAGTAATATGGGAAATTGGCATTAAACATTCAGGTTTGTTTAATACATATCTAGACAAAATAATAAAACAAATACATTATTTACACAATGTGTATTGTGTAAGCTTCATGATTTAATTCATATTATTTATATATAATGACTAAGGACCAAACACTTACAGTGTCTGCATAATTTTACAGTCCCATAGTTGGAAGTGACCTGTAATATATCCTATGGCAACAGCATTGATTTCTTCAGTATATAACAAACAAGATATGCTGAAGTTTAGTTTGCCACTGCACTGTTTATTATAAAAATTATGGAAATTTTCTGAAATAAGAAACGTGATAAATATATTTTTTTAATAACATTTTTTAATTGTAATTTTACCATTTATAAACATTGCTAAATGAAAGTCACAATCATCACTTATCTTTTTAGCTTCTTGACTATTGTTGTTTTTCCTTAGAATGAATAGTTTGCTAGGACTTGATTCATTTACAACTATTTCATTACTTCTCAATTCTATGGAAAAAAAATTTTAATTTTTAATAATATAAATATAATAATATTTAGTCAAATTACGGTTTTCAATGTGATGTTTTCTTAAGTCAACTGCAAAAACCGATCCGGTTGCCAATCCAAGTAAGAGTATGGTGGACATAACTTTGAACACATCACAAAGTTGATCTTGCGCAAGTGATTCATTATTTATTGTAGAAATGTAAGATATCTGAAATAGATATCATTTTTAAAATTGATTTTTTTTATTCAGTCTTAGGAGGACATAAACACCATATTTTTTTTATGCAATGTGTTGTGTCAACGCAATGTAGACAACACACATGGGTAGTTTGTTCTCTTAAGATAATTAAATAAATAAAAATTAGCATACTGGACTTGGTGTATGAATGCACCGAATGGTTGATAGTGTTGGTAATTGACAAACAAACAATATACCAAAAGATTTACTAGAACATCCAACTAATAGCATATTCATGGTTTTCTCGCTTTTATGTAATTCTTGAACAAAAGTAATCTGGAATAAAAATTAATATTACCTCATATTATTTTACACTAACTATAAAAAGATATTTCCAATACAAATGTTCAAGTATATATTTTTGGACTTTTTAAATGATTATGTTTTTAACAATTACCAAAGAATACAAAGAAAGACATAGTTGAATGGATTTGTTTAAACAAATCTTTTTCATGAACATTTTTACCATTTTTATTAATTATTATTAAGTATTAAAGGTACCTAAATCAAAATAAATTGATAATGTTAAAATAAAATGTACATAATTAATAATCATCGTAGCATCAAATAAATTATTTATAAAATAGTCAATATGAATTTGATGCCTACCTAATCATATTTTCATGAATTCTGATTTCTGGTAATAATATACTAGAGGTTCTACTTAATTAATACCTAATAATAATTCAACTTAATTATGTTCAATCATAATATTTTCAGAAAAAATTGAACATTTCAAATGCCTAATTAAGTTAAACAAAAAACTTGAACAAAATTAACAAAACATGCAATTCAATTTGGATAGGTACATGAACATTAGAAACAAATGTAATATGCCAAAAGAGTTTTTGAAGAAATGAACAATGATATATGCAGTATTGGTTAATGATGTAACGCAAATTACAAATTACTGTAACAAAATTACTTTTGCAGTAACTCTTTAGTTATTTCATTAATTGGACGCAAGTGAAAAATAATTACTTTTTAAAATTAATATCTATGAAGTAAAGTGTTGTTTTCCAAGTTATTAAAATAAGTAATGAATGTAGAGTGTACAACAAAATATAGGGGATACAATATTCGAGAAAAATTAAAAATCAATAAAATTTGCTTAAGATTCCAAAAAATTAAGATTGTAAACATTAATCAATAATATCATTAAAGACCTCAGGAATTAACACTCATATATTTTGTTCATGTACAACATTAAGCCAATAACAATGTGCCTACATCATCAATGTTATACAGTCCATACCTCAATACAATTTATATAAAATAAATAGTAGAAGTCATCAGGTATGTACAGATTTTATATTAATTTTTAAAAATTTAACTATATTTAATATTTTACTTATTGAATGAAAAAATAACATATCGCAATTTGAAAAAAAGTAATTTTGGACTATTTATTCTTTAAAAATGGAGTAGTCATTTTAACTAGTGTAACTAATAGGTACAGGTAAAATTGAGCGAAAATAACTTATTCTATTTCTACTACTAATTTGTTATGACTTTGTCATGTACGTAATAAATATATTTTTAATTTTTTGTTTATATTCTATATTTAACTACTTTAGTTAATTAGTTAATATTCTTAACTATGGGTGATTTGAATGATAATATATCTAAGCCAATTGAAAATAATTCTATTACTACTTTTACTACTGAAACATTTGATAAAATGCCGAGATCGATAAATATTTTGAAACTTCCTCAAAACAAGCTAATATTTTGTAAATTCCCTCAGCGATGAAAAAAAAAAACCAAGACAAGAAGATTGATGAGATTGAGTTTGATGATTTAAATCAGACATATACCTAAAAATGTATAAACAATCTGTTATTGTTCCAGTATTCAATGCCAGTGACATCACTAATGTCTCCAATTATCACCCTATTGCTCTAATATCAACTACTAAAATACTTGGGCATTCGTGTAGCAGGTGATCTACAATTATTATTACCTATTTTTATATCATATTATTCCAGGTGAAATATACATTTGTTTTATGAAATGGCGAAATTAAATACTAAGTTTAAATTTGCATATTTTTGCATAATATTTCGTCGTATTTTAAGAAAATCAATTTTTAGCCTATTGGGCATATTTTGTATTACTTTTATTTTTATAAACGAAAAATTGTCAGGAAAAATCATAATTGGGTGGTCGTAGTTTGTTGTATCTAACACATACGTCTGTTTACGATAGTCTCGAAAAATGCATGGCACTACAAAAGAACTATTACATCGTCATCTGATTGAAGCATGGTGAAGATAATGTTCCAAGATACTTTTTAAAAATTTTTAAATGATACTAAAAATGTTTAATGTAATTGAAATTTGTATTATTTTTTCTTTTTTTATATTTGACGAATATTTGTATAATAATATGACGTATGTACTCGTCATAAAAAATGTTTTTATACTATTAAAAAAATTATTTTTTAAATTTGTATGCAGATCACTCTACTGCAGTAGATCACCTGCTACACGAATGCCAATACTTGGGATACTTAGAAAAAAAATTACTTCAATACGAATTATTTTTTAATTAAAAGATTTTCTTAATTACAATCGATACGAGTTTATAGAATATATAGGTAGCGGAGAACTATGATATAGGTGAGGTAAAGAGGGGGGTCGCTAATCAAAAAACTGTGATATTTTGCCATACCGCTAGCTACATTTTAGGATCAATAAAATTATTAATTTCTAATATACACAATCTATTTTTATCTAATTTAGTGGGAAAAGTTTTAGAATATACCGGCGACACAGCAATATTTTTTCAGGAATAAAATTCTATTGATCTCAAATCAATAACAAAAAAACGATTTTTCACTAAAAAAAAATGGGCTTGTGGTTAATTCACTTGCATATGATACAAATAAAACACTTGCTTTAACTAATGTATAGTCTCTTTACTTAAAATAACTACCTACTTACAAGAATCATCCGCCATCCTGTCTAGGGAGAGAAAATTAAGAGGAAATTTGTAAATTTGAGTGTTTTAAATGAAATGATGTGGGTAAAGTAAAATACCTTAGATTTATTATCATGAGAATATGAAATGGAAAACACAAATTGAAATAATTAGAAAAATATTAGAAAAACTTTATTTTGTTTTTAAAGAATTTTCAGTTTTAATTTTATTTACTTTAAGATATGTTTATTTTGCATTAGTTCAGTCTCTTTTAGTCTATGGCATAAGTCAAATGTAATAATAAATAAATAATATTATACATAGAATATTGATAAGGATTGAATTATAAGGTTAAAAATATTTCATAACTATTTATAGTTGTTATCCTCAAAATATTAAATTTAAATCAGTTTTATAAGTATGTTTCTGTTATCCAACTACATTCAGATACCTATATATTACAAAGATAACAAATACGTACTTAAATATATTTCAAAAGGCTCAAATTTTAAACCAAATTTTTTATGTATGAGACAGAAATCAAACTTTTATACATTCATAATTTTCATGTTATTATGATTCCAAATTAACCATTTTTTATTGTTTTTTGCTTTTTTATTTCGTTTTACAATTATTGCAGCTAAGTAATTTAAATATTTTTATTGTGCTTTAGCAATAGAAAAATGATAAGATAATGCAACTGCAATTTCAGCTTGAATTTCAAGTTAATTAAAATGTGTTCTTTCAAAAATCAAAGGATAGAAACAATCATAAGACATTAACAACATGATTACTGTGTGGTGTTTCATAAATTATTGATTAAAACAAAACAGCTTGTATGAAGTATGCGCTGATCACTTGAGTGGATGTAAAGCATTTGTTTTTGACTCAGTTTTTGATGTACCTATAAAATATTTAAAAAGTCAGTTTCACAACTGAAAACTCTAAATTAATTGATAATTGTTTTCAAGATAATTTTTGTCTGTATTTTTAAATAAATTTTTTTTGCTTTTTTCAAACAATTTTAAGCTATTTTTGCTATTTATTTAAAGTACAAGCCCTATAATAAAAAATTGTTAAAATATAAAATCAGTAAAATGTTAATTAGAAAAATGCTATTTATAAAGCAAATTTGAGAGTTGATTGTTTTAGGTTATATCTAATATTCAATCTTCATAACTAATTATCATTTAAATTTAATGTTATTGTTGTATATGGGGCAACACTGTTGCTGTCATAACCTTATTAGTAGATATAGTCAGTAAGTTAGCTATCGGTTAGACGTTTGATGTCCGCATGGTAAAAGAAGTAATATAATATAAGCTGTTGTAATAATGTAACTAATGTAACATGAATAAACATAATTTGAATAAAGTATAAACATAACATGGCGCAGTCGAATGGATCAATAGTACCAGCCCCAGCTCCGCTAGACATCAATGACTCAGGTACAGTAATCAATAATATTAAATTATTTAAAAGCAAGTTTGATCTGTACCTGAGAGCTAATGAGCTGGATGCCAAAACGGATAGCCTTAAGGTTGCGGTACTGTTGAGTGTCATAGGTGATAACACGTATGAGTTGTTAGAAACATTAAACGCGACGAGCTCAGCAGCAACTGTTGAGACTATATTTAAAACGCTCCAGGAGTATTATGAACCCAAATACAGTAGTCGCCGCTTATTGGACTCACTTTGGGACCCTACAATTTGAGTCAATTAACCGAATGAGTCAATAAGGCGAATGACTCAAAAACCTAACCTTACCTAACCGTGCGAATCTGGACCAACCGTTTTGAGTCTAATATGCGAATGAGTCTATTAACCGTGAGTCCAATAAGCGGCGACCACTGTATAATGTAATAATTGAACAGTTTAATTTCTTTCAAAGGAAGCAAGAAGAATTTGAAACATTTGATAAGTTCTTGAGGAACATTAAAACAATTGCAAAACGTTGCAATTTTGGTGATCTGGAGAATACCATGGTAAAAGTACACATTGTTCTGGGAGTTAAAAACAGAGCACTGCAGGAAAGATTACTGAGGGCACCTGACTTGACCCTTAAATCAAACTGTTGAGCATTGCAAGTCAGCAGAATTGGCAAAACAACAGCAAGAAGTACTCCACAGAAGTGATGAAGTGGATGTTCATATGACCAACACTGAAGCAGTGAAAAATAATAGTAAGTGGCAAGATTTTTCAAAAAAAGATAGAACTAGTAGCAGTTCTATTGATGTTGAATATGACTGTAAGAAGTGCGGAAGGCGTCATGGATACAAAAAGTGTTTTGCTTTTGGGAAGTCCTGCATCAAATGTGGAAAATTGAATCATTTTGCAGTGGGCTGCCGTGGTGT